TTCTGGCCTCCATGGACACACACACACACACACACACACACACACACACACACACACACACACACACACACAATCTTATTTTAAAGCTCCATTTGATATCAAACATTTAATATAGTTCATGCTATTATCATCAGGAAAGTTCACTGTTCTCTACATTGGAAACTAAACATCATGTAAGAGACACATTAGATTAGGATTTTGCCACATTCATAGAGAGACATAAAAGCAACAAAGATTGAAAACACAGAGTGATTTCCTTCTGAGAACTGCAGTGGGAGCGACAGAGCACTTGGTGATGAGGCACCGGGAGACTCGGTTTTGTGCTCCGACTCCAGCTTAGCTGGATAAATCAGCAAACTGTTTTACCTTCTAGGGTCTTCAATTGCTTTATGTTTAAATGTACAAGACAGTCAATCTGTCACGTGGAAATAGACTAACCTTGAAGCAGAGTGCGGGTCCACACGTGCCAATCAACTTCCATTTGTATCGAGCTCCGAGATTGTGTTTTTGGGAGTGGTTTCTCATTTTGTTTTTTGCTTATTTTAAAAAATTATAAATTTATTTTATTATTTTGTGTGGGGGGTGTATTGCCTCCATGTATGACTGTGCACTATATGTGTGCCTTATGCCCATAGAGGCCAGGAAAAGGGTATTGGATCCCCTGGAACTAGAGTTATGGACAGTTATGAGACATTATATGGGTGTTGGGAGTCAAATTTGGGTCCTCTGGAGGAGCAACCAGTGTTCTTAACTGCTGAACTGTTTTTCCTAGCCTGTGTGTGTGTGTGTGTGTGTGTGTGTGTGTGTGTGTGTGTGTGTGTGTGTTGATAGGATCTCATGGTGTAGCCTTGGCTGTTCTAGAACTCATTATATAGACCAAGCTGGCCTCCAGTTCAGAGACCCACCTGCCTTTGTCTCCTAAGTGCTGGGGTTAAAGATGTGTAACCACTACACCCCACCCAAAGCTTTGAGAATAGAAAAGGAGGATACTTGAATGTTGGTAGAGACTGTTACATGTATTTAAATTTCACATGCGTGATCTCTATAGCCTACACACATAAAAATTAGAGTACTTCAAATGGACATACATAATAGTAAGATATAACACCTGACACATCCACTTACTGGATGAAATCACTACGTACTGGGGAAGACTCTCTTTCTGTAGGTTTTGCCTTCTGGGGGATAGAAAAGTACTTTTCTGCAGAGCTGCCTAGAGACTGCTATGGATGCTAATTAGATTAGTAAGTGGTTGTCTGTTTAATCTAATCAGTTTTAACCGAACTAATGAGGCCCCTGAGTCAATCTCATGTAACATGCGAAAGTCTAGTAGTTGCTCGGCTGAGACAAACTGAACAGTTAGAAACAATGTCCATGGCAGACTGCATCCATGAACGCGGCTGGGGAATCCATTGTCTCCAACCAACTATGGCAAAACCTGTCTCGTAGTTGAGAGGGATGGTGGTCTGACAGAGTACCATTTGTTCAAAGTCACCCCGAAGGAGCATGTCAACTTGACCCTTCCGCAAGCAGAACCAAGTTCAAAGGCTCTGAGTTTCTGAAATCTGGACTTTTCATTCCTGGGACAAAAAAAATCAAAACCCTGAACATGATAAAAACCAGAGTACTGGGGTTGGGGATTTAGCTCAGTGGTAGAGCGCTTGCCTAGCAAGTGCAAGGCCCTGGGTTTGTTCCTCAGCTCTGAAAAAAAACAAACAAAAAAACAACCCAGAGCACCTACTAAACTCAACAAATGACTCAGCATTTGCTCTGAGCTACATACATTCTACAACTAGTATTTAAGGGAAGTACAAAGACTTGTTTGCATGCTTAGCAAATATAATCTAACAGAACTCCTCTCTCCACAGCCCTCCCTGCATCTCTTGGGTGTGTGGATCTGGGTCCAGCTTCTCTTAAGACCTGCTTCCCACTGGAAAAGCTGAAAACACATCTGGCCTCCTGCTCAGCGGGTGACATTTACTTGTCACGGGTAGAACTGCGGGAAGAGTTGTGTGACGGCTGATCTGTCTTCCAGTTGCTATGACAGCGCTGAGAAATGGATGATTCTGATCACAGGAGTGGTCGTGTTTTATAAATGTTTGGAACATATTCTGTCAGGCTTTGATACTGGCATTGAAACACAAGGTGGGGTTCAGGAGGAATGGTATCTGCACTAAAATGCTTTTGAAAAGCGAGAAAATACTTATAGTTATTAAATCGTCGTAGGTGGGGAAGTTGTTGGAGAGCAGAGGTGGGAACAGATCTATAGTGTCTACAAGGCTTGGGTAACAGATACCGTTTTTAGTTCACGTGTTAAATATAAGCATAGGAAAGTCAAATTTTAACCAATAGATTAGGGACATTTTTTAAAAATTTAAAACAAAAGAATGCAGAGTTCTTGTAAATGTGTTTATCTGACACCTTTTGATTTGGTAGGTTCCAGGAACGCATTGTTGAAAATAATGATTTCAGATAAAGAAGGACCTCATGGGGGAAGTCACCTGCGTTTTAAATCCCAGCACATTGCCCACAGTCTTTGTTACAAGCCACATGGCTCATGGCCTTCGATATGTGTGTGTGTGTGTGTGTGTGTGTGTGTGTGTGTGTGTGTGTGTGTGTAATGTATCTTTCGTTCCAAACTCATGGTTTCCAGAAGAACTTCTTCCCGCTTCAGACCATTTCTGTTACCTGAGCTTTTCGGTGTGGTCACCTACCAGAACCACCTTGTCCAAGGGCGTTGACCTGCACCAGTGAAACATGCCACTGCTGTCCAGCTGGTCAGAGTCCTCCGGTGTGTCGCTTACCATGACGCCCCTGAGCAGACAGAAGAGAGAGTTAGCCTGAGAAAGTTCAGAGAACTAGTCTAACAACACCCAGGGCAGAGCCGGAGCTCATTGGCCAGGGTCAGTCATGGGGCTCCTGCTAACACTTAAGGGACCTGGGGAGTGCTGATGCATTTCCAATGAGATACACGTTCACCACCAAACAACAGAACCCTTCAAGTACAAAAGCCAACGTTTCCATCTCTGCCAGGGACTCTGAAGAACTTTGTCTTGTGTTTTACGGACGAAAGGTGATAGCTAACAAATTATAAAGCCTGTACTTGAGGGCACTCATACTCAGAAGACCCAGCTCTCCTTTCCTCCCATATATGGACTGGTGGACACAGCAAGTTAGGGCCACGGATCGGTGAGGAACGAGGTCTGAGGTAGAGAGAGGCCCCTGTGGGAATCTGCACTGCTGGAACCACACGCAAGGCTGAATTCAGGGCCCGGAGAGGAGAGCAGAGCCCGGCAGGCCATGAATACAGCCCCGGGCACGGTGGGGGGGCGGGGGGGAGGCTGGACGGGACGTCTGAGACCAGCAGCTCAGTAAAGCTATCACTCCCCGATCCCACCACTACTCTAGTGGCCAGGATCATGGGAACAGCGCGACAGTGAACTGGATACAGTCACGGAGACGACTCAGGAGGCAGGGGGAAGAATGTGCTCGGCAAGCTGCGGACGTTAGAACCGAAAAGGGTACAGGACCTTGACCTGGAGAGACCGACGGTGCTGCTCACCTTCCCTCCTCCACCACTGCCAGCCAAGCGGAGGGACAGGAAGGACGCGGAGGAGGCTGACTGTGGCAGAGGCTGAACTCGGTGTGACAGGCGAGGCGAAGGGGAGCAACACCAGAAAAGGGGTACAGGCGATTGACGCTGTGATGTCAGAAATGCTCACCACCTCCCTGACCCCACCACCTGCAAGGGAAGAGCGTGGGGGCACATGGGACGCGCAGCAGCCCACGGCCGGGTAGCAGAAGTGGCATTTCTACGCCCGAAGAGCTACACCCGGTTGGTATTCTTACGCTCTGGGCCTCATATGGACATATCTTGCTTTAAAATTTACAAACAAAGATGAACTAAGTATCAACTTTAAGGACGTCTGTCCTCTGCCAGGTATAGTGGCGCACACCTTTAATCCCAGCATTTGGGAGGCAGAAGCAGGCAGATCTCTGTGAGTTCAAGGCCAGCCTGGTCTACAGAGTGAGTTCCAGGACAGCTCAGACTGTTACACAGAGAAACCTTGTCTCAAAAAAAAAAACAAAAAACAAAAAAACAAAAAAACAAAAAAAACTCTCTGGAGCAGCAAGTGAGATAAATTCAGGAAACCCCAGTGTGATACAGGATGGATGGATAAGAACACCTAGACCCTCCTCTGGTCAATGCCTTGGACCATTTCCTCGTTCCTCACACAGAATAGACAAATTAAGGACAACAGAAGAACGACCACTGAGTTACTTGTTTTCACAGCCATATTAAAGAATGGGGAAAGTCAGTGAAATAAAATGTCTAAAACCACACTTAGGGATTTTTTGTGGCTCTGGCTTTGCCCATAGCAAGTCAACCCTTTACCATAGAGAGGGCCTGGGAAAGAGTCCATGAAGGCCCAGTCATGGCTGCTTCTAATTATGCAGATCACACAGGTTGTCTTTGTAACCGAAGCTCTCCAGTGTAAATCACGCCTTCTAGCAACTTTCTAGCCGGTGTGTAACTGTGGTGTATGCACTCACGCCCTTGCCTGCATAATACCAAAAGCCATGCATGTGTTCTTGAGAGATCGGGGATGTGATTTCTCACAGCACTCGGGCTGGGATGGCTCTCTGATGCACAGAGGCACCACATTCCCCCTTGGCCTGTCCACATCGCCTTCTCCCCAGCTCTTCAAACTCCTCCTCTCCCGTGAGGCTTTCTGGAAAAGTCGCTGCGGCATCACCTCTTCCTGTGACTTTCTGCTGGACCCTTCACTGTGGGACCCGAGGAGATGCTTCCTCACTTGGCCTTGGATGTAATCCTGCCTCCTGTTTATCCAGTGGGGTTGCTGACAGTGTGCCGTGTACAGCCAGGGAAGCATCAGGCACAATGCCTGGGCAGCACAGACGGCTCTCTGCAAACACCTGTCTGCCAGCTGTTTTTAAAGAGTGAAACACCCACAGCCCAGTGGTATTCTGTAGCTGTTGGGTGGTTGGAAATAGCGAGCCAGACCCGAATGTCCGCCACGTCCCAGTACCTTTCCTTCATCTAAGCCTTGGACCTTCCTCACTGATGATCTCATCTAGTTTCAGAAAAATCCTAGAGTAGGAGGCAAGAAAGTTCCCATGGCCTTGCATGTCTCTTAGAGATGGCATCCTCCGGCATCTGAGACATAGGAAACCTGCCCCACCATATTATCCATTCAGACTCATTTCATTTATTTTCTCGAGTGTGTAAGTGATTACTACCCCAGGCCTGATGACACCAGCCAGTAACCCCGCTCCTGCGGGGTAGGACTGCCATTCCAAGGCCAGCTGGGGGAATTTAGTAAGACGTTGTCTCAAAGAAAACATTCCTTTAAAGGGGCCAGGAATAGAGCTAAGTGGTAGAGCTTTAGTCTATCATATGCAAGACCCTGGGTTCTATCCCCGATACCACGAAGGAGAAAATGTATTACACCATGTCTTCGTCGGGGTTTCTATTGCTGCAATGAAACCCCGTGACCAAAAAGCAAGTTGGGGAGGAAAGGGTTTGTTTGGCTTACACTTCCACATTGCTGTTCATCACTGAAGGAAGTCAGGACAGGAACTCAGGCAGGGCGGGAACCTGCAGGCAGGAGCTGATGGGGAGGCTATGGGGGGTGCTGCTTACTGACTTGCTTCCTATGGCTTGTTCAGCCTGCTTTCTTATAGAACCCAGGACCATTGGCCTAGGGATAGAACCACCCATCATGGGCTGGGCCCTCTGCTTATTGATTATTGAATGAGAAAAATGCCTTACAGCTGGACCCCAAGGAGGTATTTCCTCAGCCAAGGCTCTTTCCTCTGATGACTCTAGCTTGTGTCAAGTTGACACAAAAATCATCACATACACAACACTAAGGAATATTTAGTGAGAAGTATACTTGTGTGTTGTTTTCTTGTTATTATTATACACCTTGCTACCACCCCCCTACCCTGCCACAGCCCCATGGCTGGCAAACACCTTCCGGTTTTCCGGGATATCTGCTTTAGATTTGATGTGTGTGTGAGAGCAATGCATTGCCCTGTCCTTGACTTCCTTCCATCCACACATCCTTGAGGTAAATCCATTTTCTCCCAGAGGGCAGGACTGCCTTCTTTATCAAACGTGGAATCTCCCTGGATGTGGTGGCGCACACCTTTAATTGTAGCACTTGGGAGGCAGAGGCAAGCAGAGCTCTATGAGTTTAGGGCCACTCTGGTCTACAAACTGATTTCCAGAAGAGTCAAAGCTCCTCAGTGAGACCGTCTCAGAAAAACCAAAACCAAAACCAACCAAACCAAAAAAACCACAGGAAAGTGTGACTCTGTTCCCGTGTGGATATACACAGACATGTCTCATTTTCTTGACCCTTCCTCCTTTTGTCATGGGCCCCTCAGCTTGCCTACTGTGAAGGACCCTGCAACCACAGGGCCAGTTTAGGAATCTTTTTGAGATACTAATTTCATTCCCTTTGGCTAAATATTCAGAAACTGGATTATTGGATCACATGTTGTGGTGGTCAGAAAGAAAATGGCTCCCAAAGGGAATGGCCCTATCAGGAGGCATGGCCCTGGTGAAGGAAGTGCGTCACGGTGGGGCGGGCTTTGAGGTCTCTTTTCTCAAGCTTCACTCAGTGTGACAGTCAGCTGACTTCCTGCTGCCTTCTGGTCAAGATGTAGCCGGCACCACATCTGCTGCATGCTGCCATGCTCCCCATCATGATGATAAGGGACTGAACTTCTGAAACTGTAAAGCCACTGCCTCAGTTAAATGTTTTCTTTGTAAGAGTTACCATGGTCATGGTGTCTCTTCACAGCACGAAAGAAAAACAAAAACAAAAAACAAAAAAACCCTAACTAAGACACTTGTATATTTTATTTTATTTTTTTGAGAAACTTTCATACTATTTTATACAAAGGTTATACTAGCAAAGTACCTGTACAGCTAATGTCATTCAATCATTTAAAAATCTGCCATGTTGGTCATATTATATAATGTCATCATAATAGCTTATGTCCCATTGATAATATATTTACCTTTAGGTAATCACAATTCTCAATCTAGGATCCTCCTAGATTATTATTCTTACTAAATTGAAATGTTGCCTACACATTACAGAGCTGTTTTCATTAAAATTAGGAATGACAAATATTTTAGGTTGACTTGTTTTTTTAGAATCAACTAAACAGATCTTTCTCCACTTTGCTTTCTGGTTGGTACATTTTTTTCTTTGTTCTTGAGACAGGGTCTCCTCACGTAGTCAGGATGGCCTCATGCTCACTGTACAGGCAAGGATGACCTTGACCTCCCAATCTTCCCCAGTCACTGGACGAGTGTCTGCTGACATGTCCAGTTTTATGTGGTGTCACAAACTAAGTCCAGGGCTTTGTGTATGCTAGAGCAATCTACCAACTCGGCCATGTCTTCATCCCCAGGTAGTCATTTTAAGAACTGGAGAGAAAGGAGCTGCAGAAGGAGAAGAAGTCTTTGGTCCCGTTTTGCAGATTTAAAAACTTAAACAATTTCAGCTGGACATAGTGGCACACACCTTAACCACAGCACTGGAGAGGCAGAGGCAGGCGGATCTCTAGAGTTCAAGGCCAGCCTGGTCTACATAGTGAGTTCCAGGACAACCAGAGCTACATAGTGAGACCTCATCTCAAAAAAACAAAACAAACAACAACAAACAAAACAAAACAAAAAAACCTTAGGCAATCTCATTATCAATTTGTTACAAGTATGAGGGTAGGTTAATAACCAAAAAGATATTGGGGCTAGCTAAAAATTAGCTCTTTCACTTATAGAGTACCTGAAAGATGACCTGAAAGAAAATGGGGTGCACAAAATTATTAGTGGCACAGAGATCTGAGCAGTGGTAGGAAAAAGTATGTGATGAGGGGCCAAAGTAGGGATAAATATATTTTGTAAACAGCGATTCCATTGTTCTATAGAGGTGCCAATAAAGCAAGTGTTTTAATCGAAGTCAATTATTTTGTAGTTGTTGTTTTTCCAAGACAGGGTTTCTCTGTGTAGTTTTGGTGCCTGTCCTAGAACTCGCTCTGTAGACCAGGCTGGCCTCGAACTCACAGAGATCCGCCTGGCTCTGCCCCAAGTGCTGGGATTAAAGGCGTGCGCCACCACCGCCTGGCTTAAGTCGAATTTTTAATGCTGAGTGACATAAGATGTCGCCATTCTGTGGTTCTTACCGGTTCTTAAGGCTTGCGATGGAGAGCGAGCTCTCCTGTTCTCTTGCAGAATCCTGACATTCTGAAATGCAGGAGGTGCTGCTCTTCACCACCACCATGGCTGGCCCTGCACGTACACAGAAACCTCAGTGAGTAGCATGTCATCTCTCACCTCCCTACCAGGGTCTTTTTAACCATTTCCACAGACTGAGTCACTTCCAGGCACCTGCCTAGGAAGAATCTGGAGACCCTTAGCTATTGCTAGTCTGAAAAGATGGTTAGAGAAAAGTCTTTGGTTTCCATTTATGCCAGTGGTTCTCAACCTGCAACCCTTTAATACAGTTCCTCACGTTGTGGTGACCCCCAACCATGAAATTATTCTTGCTGCTACTTCGTAACTGTGGTTTTGCTGCTGTCATGAATCATAAATATCTGATTTGCAGGATATCTGACATGCAACCAAGGGGTCGCAACCCACAGACTGAGGACCACTGCCCTGTAGACTCAGACCACACAGGTGGCAAATCCCCCTGGCAATATCTATCTCTGAGTCACTTCTGCACCTTCTTATGTCTTCCGAGGGGCAGAGGCTGGAGTTCCCTGAGGACCTGGCAAGTCCAGCTACACAAACCCTGGCCTTCCTGCACATGCTGGGCAGGTGTCACTTCAGTGTTATCAGGGGTCGTCACTAGTTTACATTTGATCTTCCCTTTGAGGAAGGCCTTTAATTTAGACTTAAAAAAAAAAAAATCTGCATCTTCCAAGAGTGACTTTCTCACATCACCGCGTCAGAATAAACTTCCCACTGTTGACAAGGGGAAAACGCTCCAAGACCGGTCAGAAGGCAGTAACTTCGTGGACAGTCTAGCCGGCAAACACGGGCTGGATTTTCAGGCCCAGGTTGGGGAAGCGGTGTGCTGTGGTGTGCTGTGGGGAAAGAGCAGTGGCTGCGGCGAGTCAGCGTGGTCCAGGTGGCGTTTGAGGGCGCTACTTAGTGGCCATGTGACCCATTACCAAATCTCTTTGGAGTTCATTCTCCTGGCCTGTAAAGGGAGTCGAGCTGGGCAACCACAAAGGTATGGTTGTTTTTCAGCTTTAAAAGACCACTTATCTGGCCTTGGATGCCTTCTCTTGGCCAAGTTCAAATGGTCCTCATCTTCTCAGTGATGGAAGCCTCTTTCCTCTCCTTGACCAGACCCCCGGCAAATGGGCTGAGGACAGAGATAGTATGTGATTACCTGTGAGTTCTTCCCGGCTCCCGGTTTTGCAGCCACATTTTTCAATGAGCTCAGGATTGTGTACATCTTTGTGACAGTGGGAACAGTAGAAGAAGGCCCTGGACAAGGAGAATAAATGGAGAATGACTTAAGTGACAACCAAGTCTGTCTCCCGCTGGGTTCTGTTTGCTTTCCTGTGTCCTCTTCGTAATGAACTGCAAAGTGAAGTACCTTTTGACAGCTTGTGAGGATTCGGCAATAAAGAACCCAAGGGTGTCCTTATCCAGCTTCACCTGTGCCGGGGGATTTAGTATAAGACTACTGGAAACGGAAGAAGAAAGGTCGTAAGTTTTCCGCTATTATCTGTAGCAATATTTCAGGCTGTCCTTAACAAGGGATTCTCTAAGTTGACGTATTAAAGAATTAAGTCTATTTTAGTTACTGCTAAACACAGTGGGGGAAGTGAATTTGCCTACATTTAATCTGTTGTGTGGTTGCTACTAAGGAATGCTAAGGGAGGCAGAGAAGCGCTTGACGACCGAGCAGAGAGGACGCTCCTCCCCTGGAACAATCATGAATCTGAGATGGACTGGCTACTCCACAGGCTTGCTGCCTCGCTGCCCGAGGCAACCCTGACAAAGGAGGCATGGCCACACAGTGGGCAGCCTTATGGAAATGCTGGTAGTGCTCATCTCTGGACCCCTAAGAAAATGAAACTACATCTAATTAGGTCTGGGATATAGCTCAGTGGAGTAGCATTGTCCCCCCCGCCCCCCACCCCCACACACACTGGGCCCAGGGTTGGGTCTTCAGAAAATAAAAATATTCCAGATGAACATTCTCTGGTGGCAGTATAGCTCAGTGCCTGTCTGCCTGAGCAGCTGGGTCTCTGGGGCCACAATCAAACAACAACAACAACAACAAAATGAAACTGTCACAGCAGTGTAACGAGTTATCAAGGTGGATTCCAATGTCCCTTTTCTTTTCCAGTGGCTTGTGTGCTGGAAAACTGTCATGAAATTTACCCAGGTCTTCCTTGATGCAGCACTGTGCCGCAGGTTACCCTGGTCCTCAGTTTCCCTCACTGCTCCTGTTATCAGAATGTCCTGTCTTTAGTTTCTTTGATGCGTACATCTGTGGTGGTAATCTAATTGTACTGAAATGTGATTTTGATTGTATGTTAATAAATAAAGTTGCCCGGGGGTCAGAGCTATGAGAGCCATAGCAAGAGTGTGGCGGTGGTGGCGCACGCCTTTAATCCCATAGATCTCTGTGTGTTCAGGGATACAGCCAGCATTGGAGACATATGCCTTTAAGACCTAGGGGGCTGTACATTCAGACAGTGATGAGGCAGTCATGTGTTTGGGTTTACAACCAATGAGAAGGCAGAACAAAATACTATAAAAAGACGAACAGACAGGATATAGCTCTCTTTCGGGAAGCTGGGACACAGCAGGAGGAAGGGTGAGATTTAGCTCTGAGCTCTGACCTCTTGGCTTTCTCTTTTACATTGTTTCTGTGTTTCTTATTTAATAAGACGGTTGGTTACATCAACATACATCCAGGATAATAAAGCCCTTGACCTCCTAATGCCCCTCAGTTCTTTCATTTCTGATACTGTCCTCCTTTCCTTCTCTAAAAGCTACTTTTGGCCAGGCATGGTGGCACATGCCTTTAATCCCGGCACTTGGGAGGCAGAGACAGGTGGATCTCTCTGAGCTCAAGGGGTCTACAAAGCAAATTCCAGACCAGGCAAGTAGGAGTTTACTTCAAACAATGAAAAGAAATAAATACATAAACAAATTTACTTTTCTTTTGTTAACTTTGGGATGAAGTTAAGGCCTGATTCTGGCTTACTCTGTTGTCAAGATAGTTTAGAGTACATTGGGAGTGTGAGAGAATCCTTATGAATAGACATGGGCTTCTAAAGAAAAGCACACTGTTTTGGTAGACAATGTAGGGCATCTGGTGAATATTTAACTGAGAATAGTAATAAGGGGTGTGATTAGTTTTGACTCTCGAATAATATGGATTTGTGGCCCCTAAATATCATCATTAACAAGCACATGTCTAACGCATGTAGGGATTGTTGAGCAGCTCCTTTTGTGAGGAAGAGAGGATCTCTGAGTTCATGTTAAACATCTACTTATCTCTTCTTGATCTTTTGGCAAAGGTCAAGTGTAAATATCTAGTTATAAAGATACTGTCACAAAATATATAGGTACTTGGTCTGAAGAATTGAGAAGAGGCACAATAATAACAATAATACACCTGATTGTACTTGTAAGAACTTATAAACTTATTTTGTCTTGTTGCTTTTTCTTTTTTCCTTTTAATTTGGGGTGGAATCTTGCTATGTAGCCCAGCCTGACCTCAAACTATCAGTGATCCTCCTGCCTCAACCTCTCGGGTGTTGAGGTTACAAGTCAATGCTACCATATCCAGTTATAAACTGATAACTTACAAGCTCTTGAGAAATGCCAGTGATCTGATCAGATCCCCTCTCTCCTTCATCTACTCTACCCACACCAGTCTAACACCTCAACAACACACACCAACACCTTGGGATCCGTGAAAAACTGTATCAGTACCGACAATTGTGGAAGCCGGACTTGTGCTGGATGGCTATCAGCATGAGATGCAGCTTCACGAAGCAAAGCCTGGGGAAGAAAGCGAAGGAGTCAGGAGGAGAGACAAGCAGGAGGCTGGTCTCCATGCACAGAACCGATCCTTTATGCTCTGTGCTGAGAAGATGAACTCCACTCAAGAGAGAAAGAAACGCCCAAATATAGGTCAATGCGTAAAACTGAATCCACCCAACATAAACTTTAGCAAGATGCCCACGGGGCTGGAGGTGAGCCTGTCCCACGCGCACTGTAAAGTGCACGGATCTAAAGCCGCAGTTCTCACTCTGTGGGTCACGACCCCTTTAGGGGTCAAATATCAGATATCCTGTATATCAGATAGCTATATTACGAGTCATAGCAGTAGCAAAATGACAGTTATGAAGCAGCAATGAAAACAATTTTATGGCTGCGGGTGAGCACAACATGAGGAACCGTGTTAAAGGGTCGCACTCAGCGTTAGGAAGGGTGAGGACCGCTGATCTAGGGGCTCTGACGTCTCCTGAGTCTGTACCGGAGCCTTCCTCCATCCACAGTGTGGGATGAGGGCACCGCAGGAGAATCGGGGAGGGGCTTCACGGGACGTACCGGCAGACCTCAGGAAATGTCATCCCGGTGAAGGCATCCGAGAGGCGCTGGGTCAGAATTTTGTTCTTCAAGCTATTCAAGAAATATTTTTGCCAGGAATGTTTAGGAAAAACCTAGAAAATACAATCATACCATACACAGAGTTACATACAGACACATACATATTCATGCATTAACATATACAGTATATTAATAAGGGAAACTGATGCTCTAACAGGCTGCGTGGACCGCTAAGTCCCCAATCCGTCTCCGCTGCATGAACATCACAGAGAGGAGCCGCAGCCTAGTGTGTTCAGGTGGAACAATGTTAAAGCAGGAGCTGAGACTCATCTGTTTCCAGTGGAGTCCAAGATGATGTGGGCCCTCAACAGCAGTTCCTTCCGGGAAAGGAGCTGTGCCTGCAAAGGCTGGCTGACTAATTCAAACTTCAGGGCCCGTGCAGAGTTTGGAAGGTTGCAGGTCCAGAGCCTAACTACAATTTTTCACACGCCTCCTAAAGAGCTATGCCTCACCTACCTCTGTCGGGCCTAACTTCCTGACAAATAAATAAGAACCTTTGGAATATATTAACTTAATAAAGCCCTCCTTAATAAATTCTCCACCAATCAAAGGACTCAGAACGCAGTCAAAAGCAGAGTGCTGTAGCTGAGATTTCTCTGCCTGGCTGTAACCGCCTTCAGGTGTGTCTACTGAAGTGTTTTTAAAATGTCTTGATTTATGACTTTCTTTGTTCTGTTACTATGAAAACTCCATAAAACCACTTCCATATGGGAGCATGAGATTTGAGGTAAAATAAATCTGTGTTCCTAATCCCTAGTTACTCAAATTTGGCTCCGGAATAAGCTAGCTTGTTCCCTTTGAGGTAAGGGCTACATTTTTAAGTTAAAACAGAATCAAGTTTCCTTGTCAGGATTGGAATCATTTTCTCTGGCTCACTGCAAACTTTAGCACAGCAGCCTTACTGGTTTTTGAGACACTAACAGTAACACGGGAGGGACAATGTGGAATCTAAGCTGTCATTCTCTGGATATGATTGATGTCTTAGGACCGACTTTGATTAATCTTACTTTTTTTAAAAAGATTTATTTATTTATTTATGTGTACAGTGTTCTGCTTGCCTGTATCCCTTTAGGCCAAAAGAGGGCGCCAGATCTCATTACAGATGGTTGTGAGCCACCATGTGGTTGCTTGGGAATTGAACTCAGGACCTCTGGAAGAACAGCCAGTGCTCTTAACCTCTGAGCCATCTCTCCAGCCCTGATTAATCTTACTTTTGACTGAAAAATCGCATACCGCAAAGAAAAGAATATCTGTGGCTTCTATTGAAAATGAGAACCCTTCACAGGTTCATAGAAATCCAAGATGATGTTGATCAGGATTGATAATAATGCAAAGCCTAAGGCCAGCAGAAGGTCTCTAGAGAAATGAGACAGATGAAAGGTGGCTTTTCTCTGGTGTTACAATGGAACCCAGGACCTTGCACACGCAACATCCTGCCCGTAAGATACATCCCAGCTCTAGAATAAATATTCTAACAAGGCTGAATGCCACCTAGGGGAGGTCACTGGAAACTTCTCTTGGGATTTTGTATAAGGCAGCTCCTCATTTCCTTCATTCCTATAGTTCATTCCTACAGTGAACCTTACAGTACCTCCTCCACAAAGGAGAACATATGCCAGAACCATGGATGAAGATGGAAATTTCTAGTCTCTAGAACAACTCTTGCTATGGAGATAAACGGTGACCTCAGATATTCTCCTCAAACCATTTTGTGGTTTGAAAAGTGCCCCGCTAAAACTGGTTACCTATTCCTGATAATTTGGCACCCTTTCCTAGCCCTTTCTTCCATACTGAGATCAAATGAATCTCTTGTTCGTTCTCAGTCTCAGACTGTCACAAGGAGGGCATACGGCCATCGATGCCTCAACTACTAAAGAAACTGACCAAGTGTTTCCAGCCTGAACTTTTTAGGTTTTAAAATGATACACCTGTTGATGGAGGTGCGCTCCTTAAAGCTCATAAAAGACAATAAGAGGACAAAATGCATTTAGGCCAGAACAATCTGGGGACTCACACGATACAGATGGGTGAATTTAATCAAGATTGAAGCATAAGGTAACCAACCCTCTAGGCCTAGAGGCGACAGGAAATGTTCTTCCGGCTACAACGTCTCACAATACAATTAATATAACTAAAGCAAGTGGCACTGATTCAAGACCCTCTGGTATGAGCACTCAGGTGTTTTACACATAGTCATGCAACACCTGGAGAAATCTGGTTGTGAGATTAATGACTTTCAGTTTACCGATGAGGAAATGGGATCAGGGAAAGCAAGCTAATTAGAGGCCTACAGCTCTGCACGCTGGCCTCTATGCGAGTATGTGAACCAAAATCTGCTATAAAACAAAATGTAGCACACACAGGACCGACAAGGCCTGCCCTGATTCTGCCCAGTTTAGGGTTCCTCAGAGGTGGTTTCAGACTTCATGTTTTTAAAATATGGAAACCACAGATATCTCTTACATTCTCAAAGTGACTTTGTGGTGCATGATGACATGAGATCATGTTTAATGGAGATTAACAAGTCCCTGCCAAACAGCAAAGAGACGCCCAGGTAGGGTTGGTCTCACATCTGTACTAGGCCCCCATAAAGGAACAAAGTCTGTATAGAGGATTTCATGTCACTTATGTTCTCCAGTCATGGATGTTGAAGTCACAACAATCAAAGAAGACACTGAAAGCCTGTCCCTTTCTCTACACACGACCCAAGTCATCCCAGCCATACACGGTCACCGCCAAGTGACGGTAATACGATCCTGGTCATACCCAGGCTCACATCTTCTTATTCTCAGAAAGAATTACTGAAGAACTGTGTTTCTGGTGGAGTTAGCGTTCTGGAAATCTGAGCATCTCTCTACACTCTTGCTGTTCCTTAATAACACCAAGGAAGAAAAGATGCAGAAGAAGCAAATGCAGTCCTGAGAGGCCAAGAGGAGCATCAGCACGTGAAGCAGTAAACGTGGGGTGAGAATGAGATGGGCAGTGAGGCCGTTCTTTGCAGGATCTTTGGGAAAGGACCACAGAGCCTGCCCCGGAACCCCAGGGACATCTCAGGGAAGCCACTGGACGGCCACCAGTAGGTACAAAACCGCAGTCCCCTTTTGTCCCTTATTTTGTCCCACACGAAGGATCTACGGTCTAAGGTGGGAAGTGGTGGGCGGATACCCAACGTCAGAGCCGGGAAGACTGAACCAGACGGCTCTGACTCCTGGTGTGCTGATCACCGGCTGACTCTCCGTACAACCTGGTTCCTTAACTCTTCCACACCCTGCTGGTTACTTCCTGAAAACACCACTGAGAGGCAGCGGGTGACCACTATTTGATTTATGATCACTATTCCTGTTACTGGGTGGATCTGCCCTGAAGTAATCTAGAAATTATTTAGATTCTAGTTATTACTCACATCATTTCTACTTGGTTAATATAATAATTATTATACTAATCATTTTATATTTTATTTACATTTAAATATTATTTCTCTGTTAAGACTAAAGCTGTTTACATTTTGACTCTCAATAACTGAAAGTACTTCTGAATTTATGAAAATATTTACATTTACAGAATCCTGGGATGTAGGTAGGAAGCAGACTAATAGTCTCTGTTTTGCAGCTTGATGCTGTAAATGTTTTAACAATGACTTCTTCAAGGCCAGGGAAACACCTGGAACTTGAATCCAGATCTTTCGATCCTTCCCTTCCCAAGAGGCAAATCCCATTTCTTGGAGACTTCTTGCATTCTTCAATTTTTTAAATTTTCTTGACTTCGGATCCTACTGTGTGGGATGTGGAGAAAGAGCCAAGACTGACTCTCACTTTGTAAAGTTACCTTTTGGTTCTGTTCAATAAACAGAGTCGTAAGAAAGGTGCACAGGCCTGGCACCAAGCAGCCTTGGGCGATAAATCCAAGCTTGAGTTCTGCGAAGCAGATGATATTGTCTCCGGCACTGCAGTTCCAGGTGGGGATTTTTGACAGGAAAGCCTGTTTCACGGGAGAAAGGAAGCCGGGTGTTAACAATGCAGACACCACAAGAAACCTCTCCTGGGCGCGTGCTTTCTTTTTTTTTTTTGGTTTTTCGAGACAGGGTTTCTCTGTGTAGCTTTG